ACAATAAGCCCACCACCACCACCACAACCACCCCCCCCCCCCCCCCCCCCCAACCCCAAAAAAAGGACCCTTTTACCCCTGTAGAGCATGAAAGAAGGCCCGAAATGGCCCTTGCCAGAAGGCATTTTATGCTCGAATACAAGAGGTCACCTAGGCAGGCACCACTAGTCCGCCTGGTCAGCCGCCCAGGTAGGGTGATCTGGTACCCTACATGGGGCAGGGCAGCTTCTGTTCTTCTTCTTTTTAACAGTGATCATAGTTCTATCAAACTATTGCCAAAAAGGTCGATAATTTACCTATGCAACTTTAAGATGGTTGTTTAGTGCACGGTATATCTCATCAAATCAACAAGAAGCGTGTGGCTTGTTTTATGCCGATTCTTGGATTTAGTAGAACGAAAATGTCAATCGGGTGTTCTCTATGCGGCATCATATGGAAGCTTGATAACCGATAGATTGTATGCAGGTTGCCCTCTCTCGTGTACCTCCTCATTTAGCTAGAGTACCTGAAAGTTGAAAACGGAAGTTGATATCTAATAAAGGAAAGGCCCTAATGGTGACGTGGTGACACAAAAACAACAATCGATTGAAGCCGTCATTCACGAGGGACTTTTTGTTGCCTAACATAAGGGTAAGCTCACGACAAACCACACAGTTCTAATCGATATCGACCAGCTATATCGCGCCCTCAACAACCAGCTTAGGGTTACAAGTGTCAACTACTAACCTTTTCAACATTAATTAGATAGAAACTGTAACTAGAAACACTAAGATGATCGGGGATGGGTATGACAACCACATGGACCACACAATGAACGAGTTCTGGAATTGACTTAGTATTGTTGTTGAGATGAAAGATCAAGTGGTCAGACAGGATTGCTTCCATAGGAAAGGTACCTCCATTGAGAACACTTCTAAGTTGACTTATTTGATTAATGTTTTACAAAGAAAGACTCGACACAACTATAGGCATGGAGCCCAAACAATAGCCAACGGTTCCTGATGCTTGCATTTCCTTCACTACCTTCTTCATGCATCAAATATACCTTTGGTTGCTATTCTGCAACAAAGATTCACTGTATCTTATTTCACAACTTCCTCTCGAAGTGTGAGACCTAGGGAGTTCAAGATGCTTGAATTTTTCTATAGAAGCATCTATACATAAAGATGTATTCTAATAGCTTTACCAATTGGCTAACTTGTGATCCTTGATCATGATGGATTTCATTGATGATGCAACAACCATTGGCACTACTCAGCGTGATGCAATTGTCGGTATGCAAACCGAAAATATTGATGAAGAGACTCATCACCCTGGTTCCGTCTTTGACATTGATATATGAATGTTGATCCCAGCTGAATCCAAGTACTTGGACATAACTGAGGTGCTTGGACGTTAGGATGAGATGTGCTGGAAATACTTAGTCACCAAGCTCGCTCCTAGCTTCAACAAGATTAACATTCAAGAAAGTTTCAAGTCCCAGAGTCTCCATCGACGTCACATGCCTCAAGTGGCATTACCTGATCCAGCCCGCAGCCCCACCAGTTTTTGGAAACTACTTGCATCCATAAGATCATGCTTGTTGAATGCTATCTTCTCTTTCAAGTTTCTCTTTGAAGTTAATACACTAAAGGTGTTTCGGACAATTATGACATATTTTAGGTTTGTATTACCTACTTTTTATCAAGTTTTGGTCATTTATGGTACATATGCAACAGATATTGCCAGCTATTGTGGCCTTTATTTAATGGTGAATCCAAACTTTTATATTTGATTGGTTCTGAATTACAGTAATCCAATTGCCACCATGTTAGCCATGCCACAAAAAACAAATATGTTGTGCAAACACCCCATACCCCATGAGATGTTGGAATTCAAAAACACAAGAGAACTTAGTGAGCTATTGGTGCTCAAAAATATTAATATCATGGTAATTTACTTGAAGAAATCTTGGTATTCAAAAATAAAAAAGTGCTAAAAGTCTCATATTGGCATTTGAAAATACTAATATCTCAAAAGGCAATTTTCCTAAATAAGTATTTTCACCTTGATGGATGGGCTAATTTGAAAAACTACCCCTTCAACAATTTCTAATACGTTGTTGACCCATTATCATAATGTCCTTAAGGGCTTCCTGAAATTAGGACAAACAAGAGGGTAAAATGTTGAATAGCCCCTCTATTGAGGTGGTTTGATAAACTTCTCAAAAATCACTTAAAATTGTGAAGGAATCGAAGTATGAGCAAAACATGCCATATGCACATTAAATAGCTGTATAATAATATATTAAAAGGCACCATCTGCTAATTCCAACAAAAAAAATGCTCAGAAAAGTTAAGAGCAGGAGCCAGTTTCAATCACAAGGAAAAAGATTAAGAAAATGAATCTAAAGGGAGAGGTGTGTAGGTCATACTAGTCTCCCAATGATACCAAGAAATGGTGTGGTTAAACTATGGATATGCCATTTTTATTGTTTAAGAGTTTCGCCTTTTCAAAGGCTGCTCAAACCAACACTTTTCGCATACCTCATGTCCAAGTTCCAGTCCTTTGTACTAGGCAACAAAACCGGAGAACTTAGAAAGGGGATTTCAGCAGAGGAGATACATTTGAGCCTTGCAGAATGGGCGAGAAGAAATTAAAGGAGTTAGGGATAAAGGAGACCAAAAAGATTAAGGAGGCTTCCTTTGAGAAGTGCTTGTGGACGTGACATGGGAGGAAAGTGAGGTTCATGAGGTGAACTCAGAATCTTGAGAAGCAAAATAGATCATACAGTCTCCATAGACTAGAGAGAGCATGAAGTTACAGCAGTGGTCTGATTATGTACGACAATGATGTAGCATGCATAGAAGAGATTCAGGGGTCATTTCCTGGTTCTCACACATTTGGTGTCAAAACAAATTGTTTTTGTCTAGGAGGCCGACATGATGACAAGTGAAGGGAGTAGAACGATCAGGAATCACATACCACCATGGCAAATGGTACAATTACAATCCTTTTATTTCCTCCGAATATTCTGCATACTACAAAACGGCATTCATCAAAAAATAAATAAATAAATAAAGTTACAGATCAGCAAAAAAAAAAGTGCACAAAAACCACACTAACACAAACAACTTCAAAAAAGGCAACCATGTTTACAACCAATGCTCAGAATGAAAGAAAAAAAGGGGAGAGGAAAAAAAGACAACAATGGCAAGCTGTACAATGAAAAACAAAATAATCAGTTTGTGTGTCTTAGAAATCGCCTGCTAGGGTGATAACAATGGCAAGATGTACAATGAAAAATAAAATAACTTAGAAATCGCATGCTAGGGTGAAGGTGCAACTCCTGAGCTTACCAATTAAAAAAGCTATGCATAGTGAAGATTTGTTTAATGATGGTTAAAATGATAAAGTAAGGATTCATCAATCAAGGAAACATCTACCCAAACTCAATGCCTTCAAGAACCCAGTGTTGCTTTGCTGAACTTATCACCCAATGATCATTGATTCACATTATCTCTTGTACATAACAGTTCTCAAGCACATCAATGAATTGGAAATCATTGTTTCCGGCGATGAACGCCACTCTTACCTCCAAACGATTCTGTGTGAAACAGTTAAGCAAGCCTTAGGCTTCATTCTTTTTCGAACCTGGCCAGAAATAAAAAGAGAGGCGAAGATAAAGTCATTCACATATACATATGACTGAATTGGGCTATCTCTTTCAAAGTTACCTTTAGGGAAGAGAGAGGGTAGACAGGGTTATTTTATTTTCATGTGGGGTGGGGGGTGTGTTGTGGGTTAAAGGAATGCATAACATATACCTTGAGAAAGCAGCACATAAAATTCATTTTGGGTAGAGGATGTCATAGTGGCCAGGCCGATAAAGCATAGTGACATTGGGGCTGCTGCTTCCAGTGGATGAAGGGATGAAATCATGGTGGTTCACATCAAGTTTCGAAGGGCCATTGGAACTGTTGTCCAGGTATACAACACGAATAGGCACACCCAACGCATCTGACAAAGCAATGATCTGCACATGGTCACTCTCTTCTCCCATTGGCTCCACGGATGACTGACAGAACTGTGACACCCCAAAAAGAAAAGAAACACTAGTAAGTATACCTGAAAACATCCAGCCAGATACTTATTAAATATGTACTCTCTCTCTCTCTCTCTCTCTCTCTCTCTCTCTCACTACACACACACACACACACACGACGACTAACGTACTAACGTAGTACGTACGTACGTACGTACGTACGTAGTAGTAGTTAGTTACGTTGTAGTACGTAGTAGTAATATATTATAGTATACGTA